TCACTTTCATTTGATCTCATCTGTGAGTCGGCCTCAATGGCCTTTGATTTGAGCATGTCAATACAACTGTAACTACTGTGGTTCCAAAACACTTATTACTACAGGAGGAAAAGAGAGTACCTGGAGACAACATACGGGCTGCAAAGGCTCCAAAGATAGACAATAATTAATTTGAATATGACCTACCATCTCAGTACATTTTTGGTCTGTATACAAGCTTGATCAAAAATGTTACAGTATATATTTGTTTGGTTGTTTATCTAACCAAAGTGGTGACAAACCAACTGGCTTACTGTGACGTTCTCAAATTTTGAATATATTTGCATTAAGCGTGGGAAAAATAACAATTTTTAAGCCGAAAGTGTTTATTTTTACCGCGTTATACAAATATATACAAAATTTCTGAACTTCACAGGGCTATATTTTCTTCATTTTACAACATTTAGCAACCAATCTTTGCAGCTTTACTCATTCTAAGACGCTCTTTCTAGCTGTGTTGTTGGATTTTGTTCTAGCTTACCTTGATCAAAATTCAGTCTACCTGTATAGCTGGAATCACCCAATGGCTAATTGCCGAACAAAAACACTATAATTGGCCAATTAACTAATTTTATTCTGCATGGACATGTTGACCGATCAGATAAAATAGGCAGTTTTCATTTAAATTAAGTACTTTTCAAAAGCATGCAAGAAAAAGAACATAAAACATTTTCTTAGCTTTTAATACTGTGACGAGCAACAAAAGTTTACGTACAGTACCAAGTTTATGAAAACAATCGGCACTGGGCACCAAGAACTCTTTGGTTGCATTGCCATTGATCAGTGGGACTGCTTTCCAAAAGTTAAGTATGATTGGTCGTGATTGATCATGCAGGAAATGATCAGCATGACCGTTCAATGTGAATATATTGGAAATCTCGCCAACCATTGCCAGTGTCTGAGCAAATGCACACTTAAGCAGATACTGTATGTGTCAAACCCCAGCAAAATAGTTATAATCCCACACTGGAGACCTCACCTGGCCAGAACAGAGATGCAGGATGTTGCTAGCGACAAGACATATTTTTAAACAAAAGTGCACTTACCTACTTATAACATAATTTAAAATCAAACACAAACACAAACACAAGCAAGTCAATGCAGAAACAAGGAATTGACATATTTAGTAATCCGTAACCCACAGTCTGCACCCACATTGCACCCAGAAAGTTGTGAATACAAAAGGCAATGGGTGCACTTGCACCCATTCCTGGGACAGAATATTTTTGGTTTGAGTTATGCAGTTTTTTGACCAAGTGCTTTTACTTTTACTGTCTGCCTGTCTAATATGTCTGTCAAACTTACAGTGCATGTGAATGTATTCTTTATCTTCTTGGCATCTTTCGAATTAAAAAATATACATTCAGGATGAAAGAATGACTTGCACTGGATACATTGCAATGATGGCCGTGCTCTCTTTCTTCCTGGACAGTATTTATTACACACAACAATGGTTGACCATCTGAAAGAAAAAATAGTATAACTAGAGTACTCAGTGTGGCAATTAAGTGAACGCCAATTCTCAGGCTAGAGATGTCGGCAGAGGAGGCTACTGTATAACTGATTAACCCATTAAACACAGCTGCTCCTGGTTTATGGTCTAAATTCTCCATATATATCAAAGGGAGCATGTTCACACCTGAGCCTTATTATAATATAATATGATTACTTATGGAAATATATACAGTACGGTAGTTTAGTGTTGAAGAGCAGGCAGAGGCGTTCCCACAAAATACATGTAAGTGTACAAGATGGGGGGCTGCCCCTATGTAACAACCCCATCAACAAGAAGAATCTTGGAAGTTCACAATAATTTTGGAAGTTCAACAGAGGGAAAAACTCCAGATGGTTGTCGGGTTACTCATTGTCTAGCGATGATCTTATACTTTTGATTTTTTCAAATTTTGAATGCTAGCTACTATCTGGAATTCTAGAATCTAATTGAAAATAAAAAGATACAAAACGAGAGTTTTGGCTCAGGAGAGAATTTTAAAGTTTTCCATTTTGGATGGCACAGTATATAATGCATATGCATAAGGAATCCCTACCCGTCCATCTATAATTAATATATTAAATTACTATAAAAACTAACTTTTGCAAACATGTTCCAATCCAGGGTGCATCATGTAAACGTACTCTAGATACGCCAAAGATATGCCAATATTAACTACATACAGTACTATAATTTGCCAAACTGACACCGAACATCTTCGGCTGCATTTAAAATGCACCCTGGGTTACAATCATGATTCTAAAGCCCTGATCAAACAAGAGAGTTGGCACAACCTTAGTTAGCTGTTCTTAATGCTTTCCCAACAATTAAAACATAGTTGGAATTGCACTTACCAAACTTTTATTTTTTTAATCTAGAGCTCAATTTGTGCATGCTTGGTTGTGTGATATTCCCAAGGTATCAAACTATCTTGTTGAACAATTGATTAATTGGTACCAATAAATCATGTTCAATCACTAATAAGGCGTAAAAAAAATATATCTGTGGTTCCGGTTCCCGACCGACCCTATTTTTTTTCTGCCGACCCTATTATTTTTTCAACGCGATTGACCGTGCAACCCTATTTTCTGCGGGTGGTTGCTGCCAAAATGGCATCTGTTGTCACACTAATTATTGAAAAAACCATGAAAAAAAATATTCAAAAAAAAATTATTTCCGACCTACCGACCCTAATTTTTTCGCGATATGAAACCGGAACCACAGGTATTTTTTTTTACGCCTTGGCACCAATTAATAAATTTGCACCAAATTTATTATATTCAACTAATTGGAATAAAGTCAACTAATCATGTTTAATTAACTGCTCAAAGACATGTTCAATTTAATAATTGTCCACCACGTTATGATGTAATTGTCTACCAAAATACACAAACAAAATATGCCCATGAAGAGATTTAGAATGGTTCATGAAAAATATATAAACAAGTTTACATGAGTCTAACCCATCCGGGATCGGATACGGATAGGCTATCCCAGGACAACCACAAGAATATTTAAAAAAAATTTTTACCTCATCAGCAGTTATGATTTATGAATGATCACATTTGTAAGCAACAAGTTTATACAGTACCCTGCAAACGAAGAATCGTGCCGAAGAACACTTGAAATTCAATTCCGAAATGTTTTGGAGGAAAAGAAAGACCACGAGGGCATTCGGCGAGAAATCGGATATAATCGTGAACTATCGTGAGTTTTCGAAACAACGGGAAAAATCAAGATGGCGTCCAACGAGGAGTTCGATTTTTTATCGGACGAGGAAAACTTTGAAAATGATTGGAAGTTTGATGAAAATGATGATATTTCTACGTATATAAATTCCAGTACTACCCCTCTTAGTGCTGACACTAACAAAGAGGTTGTAAATTTGGGAAAAGCTATGACAATTGTCGCAGAAAATAATTCAAATGAGCGAAAAGTATCGCGTATGGATTTGAACACGACTAAGGCCGGAATGGACGGTTTAGACAAGGACAAAATCAATCAAATTATCCTCGAAGCAAGCAAAGGATCGAAATTTTATGAAAACGAAAAGAAAAGAGAAAAACAAGTTCAAAAACGAATAGAAGAATTGCAAAGGAAAATGGCGTCGTTCACCAATGAACAGAAAGTTAAAGCAAAACAAGCTGCGGATAAAATTGTCCAAGAGTTAGAGCAAGGACGAGATTTGTCACGTACTATTGTCCATGTTGATATGGACGCGTATTACGCAGCGGTTGAAATGCGTGACGATCCGAGTTTGAAGTCAAAACCAATGGCAGTGGGGGGTAGTGCAATGTTGTGTACTTCTAACTATTTAGCACGGCGTTATGGTGTCCGCGCTGGTATGCCTGGGTTCATTGCTAAGAAACTTTGCCCGAATTTGACGATAGTGCGCACAAATTTTGACAAGTACACTAAAATTAGTCATGAAATTCGAGAAGTGCTGGCCGAGTATGATCGGAATTTCTTACCCATGAGTCTCGATGAAGCGTATCTGGATATAACGGATTATTTGAGGGGCAATGAAGGACAAAATAAGAGAATGGGTGAAGTTAAGGAGGAAGAATCGAAAGATATTGAAGGGAAACATGACACAGGGAAGATTGCCGGGGTGAAATTTGAAAGCACTGATACACAAGAAAACGTTTGTGCTGAGACAAAAGAGAATGACAAGACAAAAACCGAAAATGCAAAAGATGCAAAGTTTATAGTGCGAGTTAAACAAGAAACAAAGTTAGTGGAAGTTAAACAAGAAACAAGCAAGATTGAAGCATTGCCCAATCATGATTTTGAAGTTACAAAACAGGTGAAAGTAGAAAGGGCCTTTGATGACGATGTGACAAAATACAAACAGAATGAAAAGGATTCTGAAGGAACACACAGGCCTAATAGAACGGAAGCTCAAGAGACAAAAGGTGATATAGAACTAGAGCCAATCCCATTGAAAGCAGAGACTGCCAAACATGAACTTGACGAAAATTCTTTCAACCAACAAAAAGGTGAAGGCATGATCACGGTTGGGCAATCTGAAGCTCAAGGGGAAAGTGATTGGGATTTTGGCCATGGTTCGAGTGAAAATGACACTAGCTTCCTACACGAAGAACCTGCAGTAGCCGAACAAGAGATGTTTTACAACAAAGTTGAGGAGGTTGTAAAAGAAATGCGAAGAAAAATAGAAGTAAAAACACAACTTACCGCCAGTGCAGGGATTGCACCAAACATGTTTCTGGCAAAAGTTTGTTCGGACAAAAACAAACCTAATGGTCAGTTTTACCTCAAACCCGAGAGAGACAAAATCATGGATTTCGTTCGTGAGCTGCCGCTACGAAAAGCGTTCGGGATTGGTCGGGTTAGCGAACAAATCCTGACCTCCGTTTTAAAGGCCAACACCTGCTCCGAATTATATGACCGACGACATTTGATGCAATTGTTGTTCACCCCCAATGCCTGCACGAACTATTTAGAAATCTCTTTAGGTCTTGGTTCAACTGTCGTCGACGTCGATCGAGAAAGAAAGAGTATGAGTACCGAGACAACTTTTAAAGAAATAAACAAGCCCGAGGAACATTTGGCAAAATGCCACGAACTCTGCCAAGAGCTATCCGAAAGTCTGAAGGCGCACCGTTTAACGGCACGGAAAATCGGCATCAAGCTGAAAACAATTAACTTCGAAGTTAAAACAAGAGTGGTTACGGCATCGTTTCCTGTTCAACAAACCGAGGAGCTATTTTCTCACGCCAAGAAATTACTTGTCAACGAGATCCGATCGTCTAGTCCAGAACCGTTGCGTTTAAGACTAATGGGTGTCAGAGCAGCAGAATTGTGCGAAAAGGGAATGGTCAATGAAAGTAAACAGCCGACTATTATAAGTTTAATGAAGAAAAATGGGAGTGTACGAGAACGTTCAATAAGCCTGAATGCATCCCAGGCTGCAGAATCATCGAAAGCATGTGGTCCTGAGCAGGAGGTTAGCCTGGAACATGGGTCCATGAGCAGGGAAGATGAAGTTCGACATTCAGAGATTTGTAGCGATTTGACGGTATTAGATGATCACCCAAGCACGTCCAAAGAGTACACGAATGACCACGTACCATCCGACCAGCTCGGGTGCCATAATTTCCACGGGAACGCCAAGACGGAAAGATCTTCCAACCAGGCCGTTTCCAGAGAGGAACCGACCACTTTCAATTGTCCAGTTTGTGGAAGAGATTTGACTTTCAGATCTGGTAATGCACTTCTGCAAATGAACCGGCATGTTGACACGTGTCTAAGCAAGCAAGCTGTCCCAGGTGTCTTAAAATATGATTCTGGGCAACAAACTAATAAAGCGAAGCAATCATCGAAGAAACGAAAAAGGGAATCCTCTAAAAATACTAATAGAACAGTTAAACGGAAACCAATGGATCGCTTTGTTACAAAACACACGAAGTAGACATGAACTAATGAGGTTTTATATATAAATATATCGAATTCTATAGTAATCCAAAAATTAATTAATTTTGAATTGTATATATATGGGGAATGGATATTAAATGTAAGTTGTTATACAATGCGTACTGTAAGTTGATGGCTTGAATCAACAGATACAAGATGACTGGTGAATAGGCTGCATGATAATATCGTGCTGATGCACTTCGGATTCTTTTTTCTCCAAGGAAATTTAATCCCGTATTTTCCTCATTACACATGCACAAGGAACGAACAAGCTTTGTTTTCTAATCTCACTCAATGTCTTGAGGAAGATTATACTTGGTTTTCTAATCTCTCCTGCTATAATGATAAACAGGAGGGAATGCTAACGAAAAACCAAACCCTTCACTACAAACTCCAGTTCGAAATGTTGAACTTTGCTCCATTCTTTAAGGCCTGATTCCACGAGGCGGAATTTTTCGACCGAAACGAAATTTCTCTTTGTCTTTTTACAATTAGTTCTGCTCGAGAGCTCATGAAACAAAGAGAAACTTCGATTCGGTCGAAAAATTTCGCCTAGTGGAAAACCGCCTTTAGGTAGTTGCTCTCCTCCGCAGAAGCTTTTTCCCTTACACCTTACATGCATGAAGTACGTGGCTGCATCATACACAAAATCATGCACAACCTTGCATTATTCAGGTTTAAGCGATGACTTAGACGGCGGCCAACTGGGTTTACAATGCACCCATCTCTTTAGGCTACGGTGTGGATCCAGATTTTAAAATATCTATCGCATTTACAGTTCTCACGAGCTCTGCTTCGAGTTTTGATAACGATTCACTAAAACATTTGTCCATCTCCTCTGTTATTTGGCAATCAGCATTTTTCTGAAAAGGAAAGTAAATATAAAGAAAGTTAAAATGTTGAGTTCCACGCGTGAAAGAATTGTTGAATACGCTGTAGATACGCTGTTCGGTCCTGGTTATACGAGACAGCCTAAGGATAACTTGGGTGTATGGTTGTATAAACTCAAGTAAAATGGAGCAAAACAATTTTTTATGATTAATACACTTACTTTTAGTTTAGTAATTAGACCTCTTAGGTTTAACTTTGAAGAAGATAAAAGCTGTATAGCACGTGTCGTTTGCTCCTGCCTTTGGGCATTGTCGAGATAGGCTGGAAATTTAAAAATATGGTAACTATACCCCTTAAGATATGAAAAAAGTGCACATTTTACCACCTAGTGCAGAATTAGTAAACAATGTGAACTTTTCAAACCTTGTGCCAATTCTATGGTAATTTTAACCACATTTTCGATCTTTTCCTGACTTTTCTCCCAACCTGGACTCTGTATATTCACTCCATTAGCTTTCACTAGGAACTGCAAAAACTGTACGAAACATTGTAAAAAAACCATCAAAAAACCTAATTGTAATATTGTAAACTGCACAAAGAATATCGTTCAAAGAATATCATCAATAAAACAACCTTATCTTTCTCCTCTTCTGACTGACCATCTTTGTAAAAGTCTGAGTAAAGTTTCCAAACTTCAGCATTCCCTGTAATCTACATAAGAAAGATGTTTGGAGGTGTTGGTACAGAAGTATAGTAGTTATGGAATGAGTCACCTAATTCTGCCGCCGGAATATGCATTTGTCTGATCCAATGATCTAAACATAAATTTCACCTCAGTCACATGTGAGAAGAGTGCTTGCATTTTGAATCCACGAAACACTGCAGGTTTCCCCCGCAATGGTCAACAGTACCTGCGAGGTAATTCTTCCCATGAGTTCTTTCACAATTGTTTTTAACCTTGATGCTTAAATAGAATAACAAGAAAATATATCATTATTCCCTATGTTTTATTTAATATGCATATATATAACGCCATTTTTGTTGCATGCACCAGTTGGGTAGAAGTTCTTACAGTGTTTCGAATTTAATGCAAATTCACGATCAGAAATTTCTTTCACCCGATAATAAAAACAGCTACGATTTTCCGGATGACCAATTGAGCAGTTTGTCTCTCTTAGCTATTTTCTGGAATAAATGTTATTGAAAAATACTGGCCGAGTATTATTTACCTGGTAAACCTTTATTGTCTTCTTTACCGCTGATTACAGAGTGAACAAGTATCCCAAGAATCTGAAAACAATATAATCCAATGCATAAGCATACACTAACTAACTGTTATCTCCAACAATTTTATTTTTAGTAATTGGAAAGTAAGATTGGAAAGTTCGATCTCATCCGTCTATAGCATACAGACATACAAACCTCAACATCTAGGTATTTCTCCTTGAGATCCATCAGGCGGTGAAAGGCTTGAATAATCTGTTCAAAAGCTCCTACATCCGTGCTCACCTGAAAAATCGTATCACAAATTAACCTAGGCCCCCGTTTACATCAGCTTGCTCTCGTGACCACTCGATCACTGGCTGAAAATTAGGCCCTGGAATTAAACGATCGAAATGGGAGATCTGATTGGCTTCTCAGAGAACATTATTCTGTCAAAATATGTCAAAACAAATATTGCGTTTCTTCATAATACTTCTGCTTGTCGTCCCAGAGTTAAAATAGCGCGATCAATTCACAAGCATATACACTTGAAACTACTGAAGTATCCCAAGATCTACATATGACAGCGGGACCGAGAGACCCTGGGGACGAGGCTACGTGAAACTGGAATGAAGTCAGATCGAAAGGATTTTTTTGTATTTTTTCGATCATAATATCGTCTCTATATAGTTTCTGTTTTACAACATAGTGCACTCACCACTAGAAAATTTTCCCACATACGCCAGTTATCATAATTAGATCTCAATGCTTCTTGAAGTGTCCGAAATGCTCGATCTCTACCAACATAAAATGTTAGTTTTAAGGTGAAAGTGGAACTAGCCTAAGTACGCAAACGTACTCAAAATGTCCATTACTACAGATACTGTACTAACTTTTTTTTCATTTTAATATATACCGACGATAAATTATTCCAAGCTTCGGAATTCTAAAATAGTTGTAGATGAATAACAGTGATGAAAACATCTTATTAAAGTTACGAGAAAGATATTAAAGACAAATCAATTACAGTAAAACTTACATCCGGGTTCATTGAGACACACCAATGAAAAGCTTTTGCAGCCACTTCCAGTTTTGCTGTCAACATAGCAGCACAACCAAGAGAAAACCAAACATTTTCCTGAGAAAAAAGAATACTTCGAAAACCTGTTTTTAACTTTTTCATTCGCATCCCGATGACGCATTATACATATAAAGAAAACATTTGCACAATTACATAAGTTACATAAGCCCTACATATGTTTTAGTTATAACATTTTCTAACAAAAGATAAATACTCGATAACGAGTTTGACATAATCGAATCACCATGCACACTCAATAGTATATAATCGTAGATTGTAAAAACACCGCTTTTCTAACCAGCGGTGGTATAATATACCAAAATAGATTTTAAACTTATTCGTATAACCAAATGCTAAGTAGTAAAACAAACGGTGTTAAGATATAAAATACAGGGGCCGGTTGCTCGAAAGCCGATTTTAACCCTAGGTTAACCTATAAACTTCTAAGCAAACTTCCCAACAGCTTGTTTATAAATTTAGAAACGTTTCTTCAGAAATCTTGGCTGGGTCGATTAGACGTTGACTTTCCTGAGGTTTTGAAATAAACAGACGTGCAGAAATACATAAACCAAAACAACGGGTTACATTTTAACCCAGGACTAGCTCTAATCCAGCTTTGAACAACCGGTCCCTGCAGCAGTATAAAAATATTTAGATGAGGATGCAGCCTGGCAGGCATGAAAGAAAGGCTACAGTAGTAGTTTTTGCCTACATACCTGTAGCGAGTTTATTTCTAGTGATTTCTGAAAACACGGAATACTTTCTTCAAACTAAAATATAATGGGGAAAAATAAATTCACGGAATTCGATGTGTTTAAATGTGCAGCAATTTATTGGGATTTTTAGGATTATAAATGTAGGTTTACAGCCATTTATGAATAATTGCAATAACATATATATTACTGTACAGTACCTTCTTATCCCGTAAGTATAAGTATCCCAAAGATCTTTGTGCTCTCGCACTACGATGCCCTGATATATCCCAAGCTTTCCTGTAATGCACCTCATCCTAGAAATAGATAAAGCAAGTTGTTACTCAACAGATGTCCAAAAAATAATGCGACTTAAAACAAAGAAGCACCTGATTAGATTGTTGCTACCCAATGGCACAGAATAGAAACTATACAGAAGCCCGACTTCTTGGTTTTTCCTATGATTTTGGCGTAACCGTAATTCGTCCAACCTCGTTCCCAGGGCTTTCCCCTTTTTAATTCGTCACCACGGTCCTAGCTAGTGCGCTTATGAGAGGCATTCACCCCCTGATAATGGCTAAGGGCCATGGCGTCAGCATTTTGATGACGAACCATGACGTGGCAGCGGTTACGTTTTTTTGGCTGAGTCGACCTTCTGTGTGTCTTAATCTAAATGCTTGGTCACCTTTATGAGGACAGTGCATGGTAACTAGGTACAGTATCGGAATTATCTGAAAATACGAATTGGGTAGGAATAGCTACATATAAAAATGCATTAGATTAGTAGGTATATTGACATAATCTACGGCCTATTCATGCTGATTAGAAATTCAAACAGAATTCAAACTTACTTTAGTGACATCACCAAGTAGACACCAAAGTTTTGGAGTTTCGTTGATGCTCAGCTGGGTTCTCACCACAGATTCTGCCTTGAAATACACAGCAACATAGATTCATATGAACACATGGGCAGTTTAATTCATTGGGATTCAAATCATATAACTTCGTCATAATCTTAGATACAGTATGGTACTGCTAAGAATATTACCTACAGTACTGTAATTGCAAACATGTGTTGGGACGCGTTTCGTAATTGGGTTACACTTGCGTTCCGTCTGTCGTTCCCAGCGTGTCCCGGGTAAGATTTGCAATACAATTCGTCCTACATGTAAGTGCGTTTCAAAATTATGTCACAGATGCAGCCCTGATGCGTTTTGAATACAATCAGAACGGGACCCACCATTTATTTCTGAGCCTGTCTATATGTTTACCTTTTCAAATCTTCCTAAAGATATATAACACTTGATAACGTCTTCCCACAAATGTAGTCTTTCGTAAACATCCAGGGCACTTTTTGTAACACCAAGTTCGATATAAAGACTTGCCAGCTCTCGCTAATAAAGATTACATGAAATTGACTTGTAAACTGCACCTGTGGGAGAACAGTTTAGAACCGATAGAAATACAGTATCTAGTATATTAAATGGTTTGGTTCAGTTCAGTAACAAACCTGCACTTCCCATCTGGCAGGAAATAAAACACTGTAAAACAATTCTAGTCTCTGTGATAACTAAAGATCCAAAAAGAGTTCATTAATATCAAGATTTTGTTAGTATCTCACTCGATTGAATATTATTACAGTTGAAGGGATTATCGAGTGGAAATTTATATTCATTTATTAGACCCTAACGAGGAACAGAAGCGAAAAATGCAACTTTAGGTCCCTGGTAGAAATCGAACCTGTGGGCTGCGGTCCTGCGCAGGGCCACAGGTTGGATTCCTGTCAGGGACCTAAAGTTGCATTTTTCGCTTCTGTTCCCGATTAGGTCTAATAAATGTATTTTTTATTTCCACTCTATAATTTCCATCTACAATACCCTTCAACTATATATAATTAATCACAAAACAAATTTACTGCCAGTCACGTACAGTATATCCTTTTAGCTAGAAATTTAAGCAAAGCTAGCCATGGCAACTGGTCATGCTATGCTAATAAACCTGCATCTAAATACGTTAAAAACAATACATTTCTGAAGGTTTGAATGCAAATGATTAAAAATTTGCATAGCATGACCTGTGTGCCATAGCTACTCAGAAAACTATTACTGTATACCTATCTATTACGAATTGTATATATTTGATAAAAAATTTTTACTTAGACAAATTTTGACAAGCAAATCCAAGATATTTAAATGACAAAACAACTAACCTTTGCCTTCGAATCAGTATACTGATCAACTAGTTGCTAAAACAGAGAGAAATCATAACTTAAGAAGTATGCTATATATCTTTCGAAGAAATGTGCTACTGTATATAAGGGATTGAATGTCAATTGGGACTTTTGTCCTGTTTTCATTCCCTGCCAGAAACTGTACATGTAACTACTGTCTGTAATATGTTTCGTATGTAATCTGTGGTACAGTAAATCTATTAAACTAAACTAAACTAAATTATATATCTTTAGAGAAAAATGAAAAATTCTGTACCATTTACGATTTGATAAATTTGTATATCTGGATCGTTAAAATGGATAATTACGTCATTACCTGAATTTGCATCATACTGCGTTCTTTCCTTCGAGATGATTTCTTTTCATATTTACTTCGTAACAACAAAGCAAGAGATTGCACGCTCCAAACTTTCGGCTGTGATAGAATTAACTACACGTGGAGTGAAACAAGGCCCGTTTCAGAATGGCTTTACTGCAAACATGTGCTGTATAACTCAAGAACATGAAACGGCAAAAGTTCGGCATTCGGTTGTGCATCGTGGTTTTTCTGTCTGAACTACCTGAACATGATATCTCAAACGCGAAGTTCTAGTGCACTGTAGATAATATAGGGAGCTTAATTAAGAAAGCGACTTTTTGTCAACACGGACGTCAGATTGCTGAGGGGGAATTGGATTCAAAACTGTGTTTGTATCTGTTTGTGGCAATCGTCAACACCCAAGAAGATTTACCACGCTATGATGCAAAATGCCGCCAAAATTAGTTATACCAATTTTCAGGTGACGTCCGCGTTGACAAAAACGTCACTTGGTTAAGCTCACTAGTATTCTACAATTACTGTAGCTGCCGTGGTTTGTGTCTTAACTACCTGAAAACGATATCTCAAACGTTGAGGTCCAGTGTAGGTATTGTTCTGCAATAAGCTGCCGTGGTTTCTGTCAGAACTACCAACAAAAAGGTATACAGCAAATTCAAAAAAGGTTGTCCTTTGAAAGACCTTAAACTCTAAACCTTAAACCTTAAACTCTAAGCTTAATGGGAGCACAAGTTTCAAGCTTAGTAGTTAAATATTGGCAGCTACTATACTTGTGAATGAATTGTTCTCGTAAGGAGATATTTACCATGTCTGTACGAAATGGACCCCATATATGATTTCTAAAATGATTAAATGCAGCTCCCATTATGCTTTGCACACTTACAGTTTAAGGTTTGAGGGTTTTCAAAGGACAAGCTTTTTTTAATTAGCTGAATATATAGCGAAGGCTCTTCGGCAGCTTTCCAGGTAATCCATATATATAGTCATATAAACCACGGGCAATACTCACTACACTGCAGCGCATGCAGCAATTACTCCTCAAATTCTTGTATCATACCGTCACATTAGCAAGAATTTCCTCATCCAACAGTTCATGATGTGCTTGAGATTTCAGCTTGTAAAAACTGTAAAAATACATGACACGCATGCAGTTGATATAATTATACAAACCGAGCAAAAGTCGGTAGTCGTTTTGTTAACTTTGGCCAAGATTGTAACACATGGTTAAAAGGTCAGTGGGACTCACCAGGTGGCTAGGACGGCGGCTAAATGTAAGGAAGTGAGTGGGCCTTGGATATTATTGTCAGGATCAGTGAGTTTTGGTTTGTTCAAAAGTGTGTCATCATCCAACATCACATCCTAAAATAAAAACACATTTACACTATGGTTTAGGAGTTATCATCATTTTCCCCCACAGAAATATTACCCACTCGAACCGACCTGACCTAGTGTGGTCGCAGGTTCGATTCCCACATCCGTAAAGCAATTTTGCCCAGCGTGGAAACATTCAGATAAACATCAACAAAAATAATAAAAATCCGAATTCAACACCACGACAACCAGACGTTAGACATAGACAGATATCGAAGAAACTCTAGACTGAGTTCTGAAATATCACTAACTCTCCTTTGCCGCCTGCGCTCCTTCGCCCAGCGGCTACGCTCGTGTTCCAAGATCCGCCATGTAAAGTGTAGTGAAATGTATCTCATCGTGATATTAAATCCTAAGAAAACTAAAGCCTCTGCGGAGGAGAGAGTCACCAACTCGAACCGACTTGACCTAGTAAGGTCACGAGTTCGATTCCCATCGCGGTCGAGCAAGTGTGAATTTGTCAACAAGTTTGGAACAAGCTGTTAACAACTTGTAACAACCTTGTTGATACTATCAGACTTGTTGCAAGGTTGTTCCAACAAGTCTAATTCTTGGGTTTTATATGACGTCACAGAAGTGACGGGGGGTCAACTCTAAAACAAAACACAGTTATCAGAGTGAGTCGATTGTTCGTTTTATCTATTAGCCTTGCGTTTGGTGGCAATACATGGAATTTCGTATCATTTTCTCACTCCAGTACAGCATAAGCATCAATATACTTGAGGCTGACCCCTCGTCAGATTCACTGCATAATGCTGTAGTGAAACCATAGATATCTTATATACACTAGATAGTGCATCTAATTATTCTGCAATTCAAAACTTGAAGCCGTGATTGCAGTCTCAGGTCGTTCCCATGAAATGAGAAGATTCGTATGTTTTCTATTTCTTAAACAGGGAACGTAAACATTAAGTTAACCCTATTCCAAATACTTTTTAAACTATTCAAATGATGAAAGTTATTGTTGTTTTTAACCGTAAATTAGCAAGTGGGAACGACCAACATGGCCGCCATCTATTCAAATGGGGGTAACCGCTGGAATACTCTTGGCTTCAATTTTACTAAAAGAGATGCGCTATCTAGTGTATATAAGATATCTATGAGTGAAACCCAAGAATACAGTCATGATATAACAATATTGTTACAACCTTGTGTCGTCAACCTTGTAACGTTCTTGTTATATCATGACTGTATCAGAATTGTCAGAACAACCTTGAAACAAGTCTGATAATATCGTCAAGCTTGTTGCAAGTTGTTAACATCTTGTTCCAAACTTGTTACAACAACTAGGAACAACCGAACAAGCAGTGCGGACACAAGTTGTCAACAGCTTGTGAACAGATTTGTAAAAACTTGTTAGCAGACCTGTAACAATTTGTACGTTTTTACGTGCGTATAGCACCAACTTTACGTTTTATAGCCTGCATGCAGCATGGCTCATATGTATCACCATGGTAATGTAAATGTCAAATGGAGTGTGGGAGTTTCATGTGCCCCATTCTCGCCTCAGTTCAAAAATACAGAAAATACAGCTACTCTGACGTTTACCTTCGGTAAAGTTTCGAAATCCGGTTTTTCACTTTCTCCATTTTCTACAAAAAATCAAGTATACAATAATGGCCACCGTTATTATATCCTGCGTAGCAGGCGTTTAGTGCGGGCGGGAGAAGAGAGGGCGTCGTAAAGCCCTTTCTTCTCCCGCACGCACTAAACGTCTGCTACGCAGGCTACCGTTATTATAACAACACAGTGGCGTAACTTCATTGGGCACCGCCTCTGTACCCTTTAATCAGCATGGGCCCCGAAGCTTGGATAATAAATTGTTATAGCTACGTTCTATAGGCATATCGCTCTTAGAGTCTACACACAATAACACAAAGGCAGAAAATGCGTATCTTTAAAAGACTGTGCAATGTTCTGTTTATTATTTATACTTGGTAATGAATCAGTTAAACTGAAGTAATGCCATTTAATTTTAATCGAACCCAAGGTACTGGGGGCCCAGGGAAGGGCGAGTTCCAGTTTAGGAGGCCCTTACCCTGAAGTGGCGTTACTAAGAAGCATTTTAACATATACCTGTACAATTATCTATCTTTGTTTTCGCTAACAGCTGTGTATAATCAATTTGTTGAAACTTCGTTCTTTTTCCAAGAGCCCCTACGATAAAAAGCATCAAACATCAACGTATACTGTCTTCTACACGGAACACGTGATATAATGTTCGAAACACTCACCTTCTAAGTAAAGTTCAAGTCCGACACACTTTTGTGCATTTTCGATTTGCTCCTACCAAAAATCACAATGAAATATAGTGTAAGGAAGAACCATTTATTATAAAATACAAAATGAACGCCCGAGCATAACAGTTACCCACATACGAAAGCACAGTTTTTAACAAACTTCTAACAGACGTTCCAATGCTGTTTAAATATCTTGTTATCAGGATGTGTTCGCACTGCTTGTCGCCAGCTGGTTGACAAGTTGTCAAAGGTTTGTTCACAACTTGTTAATATAAGGTTGTTGATTCAACATACTTCGAACAACTTGTTATCGTCCTGCAATTCTACAAGTTGTGAGTGACAACCTTGTAACAGCTGTTGCGATCTTGTTGAGAAAATGCAACAGAGATTCATACGTGTGCACAGTATCTAGCATTGATTATCAGCATTCGGAGTCGACTCTAGCAGAATTTGAGCCTGCACACTCAGAAAAAAAAACAAGACATTGAAATCTTTACCTTTGCTTTTCCGCACTCGAAATATTTTAAGAAATGATAACTGCATTCTAAGTGTATTCTGAAGCGGAACTCGCTGAAATAAATCAAATATACGCTATTAAGCTGTCATGTCGACTTATTGGAGAGGTACAGTAGACCAAAGAAAAAAGGGGCTTCACAATATAAACTGTAATCTCACTAGTAGTAAAAGAAAGCAAACAGTAGAACTGATACTGTAGAGCCATCCACCAGAAATAAAGTTAGTTTCATTTTACTTAAAGTTTAGTAAAATGTTTAATTTCTAGATTACAGGAGACCTAAAAAGGTAACCAGTGGCGGAAATTAGAGGGGGCTGGGGGCAACCCAC